CTAACCTACTCAGTAAGTATACTAATTAATGAGGTTGTGATCATCACTGCATGTGGTGATTGCACATGTGCAGCGCATACTAAGAAGTTCAAATGGGAAACTAATTTTCATCATCAATCAATGTGTTTGAATCGATATTAGGCCTACAGAAAAATAATTTGTTAATAAAACATTGATAAACATTGTTCATTTTGTAGGATGCTTGAATACCATACAAAATTAGGGAATATCATATGAGTGAGTAGTGTATGTGTGTAAACTTGTCTCTTTCTTATCTGTGCCTGAGATAGCCAGCTAAGTCCTGGTCCTAGCAACTGAGGTAGGCTGTAGGCTTATATGGTGCCTAAGCCTGCCAAGGCCTAGATATAGCCTACACAGTGGCTGTAGGCATATCTAGCCTAGGTCTAAACTCACGATACGATATTTTCAGCTATTGTATGATATTCCTCTCATGAATTAAATTTAGGCTTTTTGCGATTCGCGAAAGTTTAATGTCGCGAAAACGGCCGAAATTATCAATTCGCAAAAGTTCCTGGTTTACATTATCTATTAAATATTTAGGCTAGGCCTATGTATGAAGATACAGTATATGTAAAAATATCAACTTTTTTTACAGCTCATAGTTGATTCTGAAAACTGTTTAAAAAAAAATTATGTAGAGAAATGCAAATGGGCTTAAAAAACTCAAATACCCTGGAGCGCAATGGCGCTTGACCCCCGACCAGGGCTTTGCCCCTGGACCCCGATGGGAGGCCTAGGCGCGCCCCCCCCCCCTATAAACTGGCCTATTTCAATTTACTCTCCTGTTACTTTCAAATTTCTCCTGCTACTCAAATTCATAAATAAACCCCTGGTAACTATAACGATTTATTTAACTTTAATATTATAAGTATGCTTTAAGCCGTTGAACCTCATTTGGCAACAAGGTGAAGTACCTTAACCCAATGCTCAGAACCCCCTTTGCTAGATGCTGGCAAAGGGCCTTTTACATTTTAAGTCCTATGTAATGTACATTATGTCACTCTTCCCTGGTAAATTCACTCTTTCCGGGTCAAAGTAAAACAAAAGAAATGATATTATCAGAAACTTGTGTTTATATTGATTACTAAACACAATTGTATTTTAACTTTTAATATCATAATTGAAAGAACATCACTGTCTTAAATTTCATGAATTACTTCATACAGTCACAACTGGTTTTCTGCTTGATAGCATTATGGGTGCATTTATCCTACAGTAGTTATGTAAAATCTGATGAAAATTTACAATAAATATTTCTTAATGGAAACCACAGGTGTGTAAATAACACTAACAAAAGTAACCTACTAGGCATGTTAATTTTGAAAAAACAGTTTAACCGGTAGTATATAGGTGCAGTCTCCTGTTCACATGTTCATACAGAAGGATATTCAAGCAGGTATTTAGGCCTATATCCTGTTCAACTGTTAATAAGGCCCCATAAAAAAAATTATTAGTTTATCACCCTATCAAAGAATAAAAACTGATGAGGGAGGGAGGATTTTTTTTCTTTCTTTTTTTTTGCTAACCCCGCCCCCATTTTACCGATGATCACAGGTAAATCAATGGTTAGAGACACATATATAAAAAGTCATAAGAATGGAATCAAATTTATATTTAAAAAATATGTTTTTGTTGTACCAGTAAACATATTTGCCAGAAATCCTAAGCTTTTCAAGGGAAAAAAAAAAAAAAAAAAAAAAAAAAAAGGACCGTTTGAAATAAAAATATATGTTACTTGGGAAAAAAAAAAAATTTAAAAAAAAATCAGATTTTTCCAAAAAGTGATGAGGGAGCGGGTGATAAACTAATAATTTTTTTTATGGGGCCTATAGTATGAATATTGTAGCCAATGAGGTAATAGGAATAGCTAACAGGAAGTACTTAGCTTTATAATAACATGAAGCACTGTTTTGCACCACAACTTGACATAGAATTCTACAATAAAATATAAGATTCTTACTATATTTTATTGCTTCTACAATAAAAAAAACCCCCAAAAACATTTAGTTTGGATTCCAGATGTTGCAGAGTATTGGAATCATATGCTTAGCTCTGGTTCTTCCTGGCCAGGGCACTCCATTATTTGATAGTGTCTCACATGGATCTTTTGTTATACAAGAAGGACACCACATTTTTCTTCTTTGTCAACTACATGGCCTGACTGATGCCTACTCAATCTCCTGGTACAGAGAAACAATTTCAGGTGAGAGAACAGTTATTTACGAGAATGGAAGGCTGATAAATAATGACTTAGGAAAAGAGGCAGAAGCTTACTCAACCAGCAAAACATATGATGTAAATATAACACAGGTGAGAGGTCGTGATCTTGGTCATCTGCTTAATGGTAACAATTACACCTGTGAAGTGAGTCTTAAGAGTACAGGTAAGACAGTGTTGGTATCTGTCTCTTATACACATCTAGATGTGTATAAGAGACAGGTGTATGACTATGAACCTTTCATTTTCATTTTCATTTTATTTTACTAGCCCTCTTTGTGATGACATAGATATTTCGGAAATGATAAATAATAAAAAAAAAAACCAACACTGGCTCAAATTCTTTTACACTCGGTGGCGGAGGTAGCAAGGCGAACCAACTATATTGAATGCTGTTTACACTCACAATTTCAGAGTTATAAATAGTAGGCCTACAATGATTAAAACGGTAAAGCAAGACCAAATCGTCTCAATTCACGACATCACATGAGACATTTTTTTCCAATGTGGTATCCATTCCTTTTCGATATCTGCGTAAATTTTAGAACTATTTTTTGCTCTCCTTAGATGTTTTCTTCAACGCAGATCTAGGGTATAGGCCTAATGGTGAATCCCACAAATTTCAACATGTTTGTGAAAAGTAAACAACTTCATCATTATAAAAATTGTGTTTTCAATTTATTTTTGTGGATTTTATTAAATGTGTATAAACTTAAAAAAGAATGTATTTCAATTATTGAATCAATATTCTGACCTTAATTTCCGATGTTGAGCTCGAAAAATTCGTAAATTCAAGGCCTATTCTAACCTACTCAGTAAGTATACTAATTAATGAGGTTGTGATCATCACTGCATGTGGTGATTGCACATGTGCAGCGCATACTAAGAAGTTCAAATGGGAAACTAATTTTCATCATCAATCAATGTGTTTAAATCGATATTAGGCCTACAGTGGCCCGACTGATGCCTACTCAATCTCCTGGTACAGAGAAACAATTTCAGGTGAGAGGACAGTTATTTACGAGAATGGAACGCTGATAAATAATGACCTAGGTAGAGAGGCAGAAGCTTACACACTGGACAGTAGGAACAATGTAAGAATAAGGCAGGTGAAAGGTCGTGATCTTGGTCATCTGCTTAATGGTAACAATTACACCTGTGAAGTGAGTCTTAAGAGTACAGGTGAGGCAGTGCTGGTATCAAGTGGTCTCATCCTGACAGCAAACTATCTTCCCGCATCTGTGTATCCAATCTGTGAGGCTTGTGACTTTTCATCTGATTCGATTGGCTCAAATGTAACTATTACTTGTTTCTCTCAACCTGGTCAACCAAATATTGATTTACAATGGTCAAGAAATGGAGGAAGAATTGGAAACTTACATACAATTACAAAACACTCTCTTATATACTTAAAGTATACATTCATACTTGAAGCACAAGATTTAGAAAGTATTTATTCTTGTACAAATATTCTACAAAGGTGTAACTTAACACCTGATTCTGACAAAGCATGTGTGGACGAAAGTTCCCCAAAGATATTTTTTGACACTGTTACATCATCTCCTGGCACTGTTATCATCCCAACAAATGGAACATCTTCAGATTCAAGGACGCAGACTTCAAATATACCAACTGTGATTGGTGCTAGCATTGGTGCTGTTCTATTCTTCTGCTTTCTAACTGGCGTCTGTTTATACAGAAGACATGAAAAACAAAGACCAACTATGACATTTCACAAAAAATCTACTACAGAATTTACAACTGAAGATAATCAAATCGTGTATCTTTATATGCACGATGTGACTCATTCTAATACTAAATGTTTGGATGACGATATCACAATAAATCCTGTTGAATCTTGAATTATTGAAAATTCAATTTATGTTGGATTATGATAGTTTTATTAGAAATGTCAAACCACAGTACAGTAATGTAATAAGGAGACTTTAATACAGCCGTTCCTGAATGAACAAGGTGGTTTGATCCTGCTAAAAAATTCAATATAATTAATTGTAGCTACTAATTCTATCAAATAATTGCTAAAACAAGATACTATTTGTCCAGGGGCTATAGAGAACATCAACCATCACTTTGTGGGGGTGCTGCCGTCAGTGTAGCTGCTGTTGAATGTTTGTTTGTTCAATACTTACTTTGGTACTTGACATGAATCCCAAAAAGAAACGTAGAAACATAGGTTCACTGGTATATGATACAATACTAATTTTGAAACAAAATTCAGTGCCTCAAAATAAAAGCAAGAATCAAGAGACATATCCTATAGATTAACGATTTATAATTATATTTCAAACTACCAACCTAGCAACTGCCCCCCCGCGCTCCCAGCCATCACATAAATTACATTACATTTAAGAATTTCTAGATAATGTCTCATTACATATATGTCAGGCAGCAGTGGCGTATTCGGCGGGGTGTGCAGGGGGTGTGATTGCCCCTCCAAAAATACTTGCCCCCCCGCCCCAGTCGACCTTCCAAAAATCACTTGCAAGTAGTTAAAAATCACCTTATTTTGAGAGTTAGCTCCCCTCACTTGATCATCGAGACCCCCATTTCACCTTCGTGCCCTCCCCCATCAGCACCCCCAATTCAAGACTTCTAGATATACCACTGTCAGGCAGGACCATGTTGCATGACTACATTCATTCACTGCCACTGATCATATTTTTATTTGCTTAGATATATTATACTGCACTCTGTAGTTGGGTTAATAACTTTTTTTTTCAATTTTGTTAATGTTTTATATTTTCTTATGCTGATGAATAATCACTGTATAATTTGTTGTTTGTTTTTGTTTTCTAAATTCTAATTACTTTTTCTACTCAAGTTGGAGTATTTATTTTATGAATAAATTGTTTCTGTCTGTTTGTATGTATTTGTCTTTGTATATTCCTGAGTCCATGAATTTGATGTTTTCTGAAGACAAAATAAATGAAATGAAATAAAAAGAAGTAATGTATGAAGAAATTAACCGAGTAAAAATTGGAGGAGAAAACAAAAAGCAGCAGTTCAGTATGCTAATCAAGGAAGCTTATCTACGAAGACTAATGAATCAGGAAGAGAGAAAAAAAGAATATTATATATAGTGAAATATGTATGAAAAATGAAAGACTAAAGGATAAAATATACAGAAAAATACAATGCATGTTAGTAATTAAAAAATTGCTTTAACACAAAATGAAAAAAAGGCCGGAATATCACCATATTAAATAAATTAAACTATTGAGTTTAATCAATGGATAGACCTCCATGGTTTAATTGCTATATTCTAATTTATTAAATTAGTTATTTTTATTTAAGCATTGGTATCCATCCAAAAATTACAAGTTAAACTAAACAAAAGGAAAGGTATTACTGAATACAGATAAAGGCATATTTTTTAAACTTATAGAAAGAGAATCAAAATATTTATGAATGTTGTGAGAAAGATGTATAATTGCATTAGGAACCAATCATAGTGACGTATCACATTTCAACTTAACATAATTCAAAGAACTTTACTTCCTTTTGGTTTTCTGTTTTACCAGGATTGGTGGGTGCATTCATCCATGTAATGACTCATGTAAAATAGAAGAATTGCTACATTAAATACTTATGAAGGTATCATAAGTACAATACAAATAATAATTTTAAAAAAAAGTAACTAAATGCATGTAAAATTCAAAGAAGCAGGAAATATAACATTCACATTTGAATTTTAATGCTAACAGGAAATATACAGCTTTAAAACGAGTAACAAAACACTGTTGGCCCTGTAACTGAGTGGTGATAAGCTTTGGAAAACTAATTTCTACACAAAAATTTTAATGTAAGCATACAGAATTTCAGTTTTCATAGTTTTTATAGAGTTTGGATATGTTGTACAGTATTGGAATCATATACTTAGCCCTGGATCTTCCTGCACAGGGCACGCCATCATTTAGTAGTGTCACCACTGGAAGTGGTTTTCTAGTTGAAGGAAGCACTATTGATCTTTCCTGTACGGTGTTGAACCTGAGTGATGACTACTCAATCTCTTGGTATGTCACTATCTCTTGTTAATCTGAACTTGGTTATCCACATGTCCAACTAAAATGGTCAAGGAATGGACAAGCAATTGAAAACCCAATGACAATTACAATTCATTCTCTCATATACTTGAATTATACATTTATTCTCAAATCAGATGACTTAGAAAGTAACTTTTCTTGTACTAATGGAATACAAAGCTGCAATTTAAAAACTGAGCAGGCATGTGCACCATCAAGCACTATTACATTTTGGACTGACAAAAATAAAGAAGTTAGTTCACCAACAATGCTTCTTGATGTGGAGACTAGCATGTGTCAATCATCTACCACAACTGTTGTCTTATCTCTCCCCATAGCAGTTCTTGTCGTAATTGTTGTCACTCAAACAGCTGTCATAAAAAAGTTGCGCCAATGCAAGGAAGTGAATAAAGGTATGGAAATAACAACCACTCTTGTACCACATCAACAGGGGTTTAGAAACATACTGCAGACCTGGTGTGTAGAGAAGAAGCTAACTACACCATTACAGAATCCCCAATGCAAGATCTAGAAATGATGAACACTGTACCAGACCCAAATCCTTACTACATTAATGTCAAACAATCCACTGCCAATCGTATGACTTAGTAATAATAGATGTTTGGAAATGTAGACCATTTCAACAATTCACATCAATTTCTGATTTCAAAGCTCAACTAGCAAAATACTTCATCTCAAGCTACTGACTTCTTATCTATTTTTTTCCTAATATATTTGTGTATTTTCTAATATGATAATTTCTTATATAATAATTTTATTACTGTCCCAAATCCTAATTGTAAACATCAAATCAATGATTTTAAAATTTTAATTTTTTAAGTTTAATGTTTCAATTGTTTGCATCTGCTGTAATTGACAGATGCAATAAGAGCAGTTTTTCTGTTTAGGTTTATACCTATTCCTTGCTCTTGGCAAGATTGTATTTTACTTTCCAAAATAATTAATATTATTTTTAATAATAGGAAGCACAGCTCATTGCAGGACCCTAACGTTAATAACTACAACAAATACAATGTTCCAACAAATCTACAGTACTTAAAATAAATGTTCAAAGAAAACAATGAATTCAGTAGACTGTTTGAAAGAGTTCATATAAAAATAGTAAATCAGTTCTGCTTTGAAAAAATAATGATACAGAGATTTGTCTTTGTGACAAGAAAAGAGAGTACAGAAATCCCTAACAATTAAATTCAGCTTGGTATATTCTGCTGTTTGGTGTAGTGAATTGAAGATACTTGAGATTATCCTATAATACAAACGGATAGGAAAAATCTCCACTACGATCCTATCCCTACAACACTACATACTTCGCTATTGGGATAATTACCTAGGCCGAGGCTTGTACCTCTCTGCAGGCAGCGTTTGAAGCTTTAAATGACGCCACCTATCGTTGAGAATTGTAAAACATCGGGGGAAAATATAAAATTTCTCTCTTTTTAACACTGTTGCTTCCCCGTAATGCAGGTAGCTGTTAAAGCCATCAAGTGGTATCAATTTAAATTTCAAGGCAGTTCAAATGAAATCGCGCAAATTTTAACTGAATTATCGGGTGTATTTTCAATGCTTATTCGTCATAAGTGAACTGCATTCCAATGCTGTAATAACTCGAAAATCAATGTTAAGATGATTTTTTTTCATAATAATTTAAAATGTGTATCGTAGAATCAGCTAATATTATTATTGTCACTTGCGCGTACTACTGTACCGACATAAACATTTGTACGAAGTGACAAACCAAGTATGTAATATAGTAACATTAATGATAATAATAGTTGTAGTAGTAGTAATAGTAATAGTAATAATAATAATCACAAGTTTAAGCCTACATATCAACTTAAGGATATACATAAATGAATATTGCAATACAAATAATAATAGTTATTATGATGTTGATGGTAATAATATATGTAGGTCATCTTTAGGTTTCCGAATAAATATTTATTTCTGTTGTCGTGTTCAAGTTAAATTCATTTTATCATTGAGTTTATTTATTAATAAATGGTAATTGTATTGTCATCATCATTTAACGGATAATATATAATGTATGTATAATGTATCCGAAATTATGAAGACACATACAGTAGAGTACAGTACAGAAAACAAGTACAGTACAGAAAACAAGTCCCACTGTAGGTTACCTGAAATCAATTATGTTTATTTTAGTTTCTTCGTAATCATCATCATCATTATCGTCACCATTATTTAATTATTGTCATTGTTTGTCTTGATAATTATTAGGCCTATCTGTACCTATACTGTACTTAGTACAACTACGCGTGACTGAATGACAATCTTAAAAAAATAAGGCCTAGGCTAGACCTACAGTTTATTTTTGTAATCATAGCCTAATTATTATTTATTTCTAAAAATATATTTCAGAATTATAATAAAAAGGGGGTTCAAGTCTGTGGTGTTCAACTACTGTACTCTTCATTATAAGGCTTGCCAGTGAAACCCTATGCCTGCCTAATGCCTACTACAGTTCGCCCTCCAATATTCGAGACCACCTTTAGGACCTGAAAAGTTGGGGTGGTATCAGATTTGATCCCCAATTAGAGGGCTAGATTTGTGTTAAAAAATTGAAGATTGTTCAAAATTTAGGTCTTTAAAAAGTTTCCTCGAATTGGAGGGTGCACAGTACCTGGCTTGAGCCTTGCTTATTGCATCGCATAATCGCCATGTATCAAAACCACTCTGTCTAGAATAAGAAACAACCTGTACTAATAAACATTCATGATTTCATTGCCAAATCTGAAGGTGGTATTTTGAATCTATAGTGCAACCAATCGCCACTACCTCAAACGTCCAGAAAAAAAAAATTTCGCGGCCCATGATTTGCATGACTACATTTACTGTTGCTGATCAGTTACTTTTATTTGCTCATATACTTCTTATATTAAAATATTATACTGCCCTCTGTAGTTGGGTGAATAACATTACCTTTTTTCAATTTCTTAATGTTTTATATTTTCTTTGATGAACACTCACTGTATATTTTTTTTAAATTCTAATCACTTTTCTACTTACTTGGAGTTATTTTACAAATAAAAAGTTTGTGTCTATTTTTGTTATGTATTATCTTTGTATTTTCTTGTGTCCATGAATTTGATGATTTCTGATGACAAAATAAATGAAATAAAATGAAAGAAACAATGCATGAAGAAAAAAATAGGGATGTTACAATGAGTAAGAGAAGAATAAAAGATAACTGGAGCCCAATTTCTGACAGAGCAAACCATACTAAGAGGGGATCTTAAGTCTTTTCAAAACGAATGCTGTAAATTTTGGGAATAGTACAATAAAGACAATAAAAAGGCACACTGTAACATCAAACTGTATCATAAAGTGTATTTACTAGCATTACATCACCAAAACTCAAGCATGTTTTAATTTATTTTGTTTCTTTGAAATAATTTCTAAAGCAAGTACATGTCTGCACATGTTATGCAGATTAAAGGAAGTTCAGTCTTCCAAAGCATGACCTTCTTGAAGCGTATAAAGTGTTACACAAGACCAAGTGTCGAGTATGCTGTACCTGTTTGGCATTATCACGTCTTACTGTACAACATAGCAATATGACTGAATCAATTCAAAAAAGGGCTTGCTTGTTTGCGTGAGTGCGGGAGGCCGTCCCAATTTCCGGGACACTCCTGCGAGTTCCAGGAGACTTGGGACCCCTGATAGCAATATGAAGCTTAGAAGAGTGAGGTATCAGCATACAAAATGTAGAGTGAAAAGGTATCGAAAAAGTGCAATACCATTTCTTACTT